GTGTGTGTGTGTGTGTGTGTGTGTGTGTAACCCCTTCCAGGAGTTTCAATCTCTGTCTGTCTGTCAAAGTCCTATGGGTGGAGGTAAATAAACATGTTGTTGCTGGCACATCAGGGGTGTGCGAGTTTCATTCTGTGCGAATCCCCCGGTCATTACAATAGTTTAAAGTGCATCACTCAATCGACGCAATTCAATTTGCGTTCACCCCTCTTTTTGCACATTTCGGGGTGAAAGTGCCCAGGGCCTACGAACACCAAAATCTGGCCCTGACCTCAGTGATGATCAGCTCACTTTGAATGAAATTCAGCAGACAAGTATACACCAGAACTAGGGCTGGAACACATACTGTACAAATCTCTCTGGGACCATGATGTTATTGGTTGTGTACATTGCCTACTGCATGAGCCATTAAGCGTACAAGTAGGTACCTGCGTCAGCATGCATAGGCTGCAAAGGAACAGGTAAAGCTTTATTCCACGCTGAAAAGAAAGAAGACAGAACATTTCGGCTGTGGAGCCTTCTTCAGGTGTGATGGTCTTTGTTCTTGTGAAATGGGTTGTCGGAGTCTCTCTCCCCTTTGGGGCACCTCCTCCAGGCTCCTCTTAACTTCTGCTACATTTAAATAGATTTAAAAGACAGAAACACACTTTCTAAAACTGACACTTCAAAATCCACTGACACTATGGGAGACAACGAGAAAATAATGTTTCTGAAACGAATGTGTCCGGGACATACAGGAACCAGGTTGTTACTCATCTCAATGCGAGCTGAACAGTCCCGTCTGGAGAGGCAGCTGCCCTCTCAGATGAGCCCATAGCTGAGACTGTATTAAGGAGGGGCGCTAATCTTTACTCTCCTTCCACTGTTTGCCATTGGGGTGGGGTGAGAGCTGTTTGCACTCAGGCCTCACATACTGCACTCATAGTAATACGCCACCGGAATGAGAGTCCTGTACGATGGGTTTTACCAGGTTCTGGCACCCAGGTTCTCCCTCTCTGGTTTCCTCCCACAGTCCAAAGACATGCTGCTATGTAGGTTAATTGGTTTCTGGGAAATTTGGCCCTGGTGTAAGTGCATGTGTGTTAGTGTTTATGTGTGCCCTGTGATGGACTCACATCCTGTCCAGGGTGTATCCCGCCTTAAACCCACTGCTATGGGTTGCTATATATGCTCTTAGGACAGGTTCTGGCTCCCCTGCAGTCCTGAATTGGACTGAAAATCAATGGAGGGAAACCAAACTACATAGAAGCAGCTTTCACACAGAGTCCATGAGCCAACCTTAGAATTAAAATTAGGATGCTGAAAACTTGAAAAAAAGACAGAGGGCACAAATTCGCAATTCAGAAAAACAAATTATTTCTGTACCAAACCAAAGTACTGGGTTTTTCAGAGAACCCACATGTACAGGCTCCAAACAGCCCTATGAAAGGGACTTATCTCTCTGGTCCATAGAGACCAGGGTTCAATAACAACACCCCTAGCCTGCACGTGATTGGAGACTATTGTTAATGCTGGAGGTGTCAATGTTGGCACTTCTGCTGTGCACCCAAGTAAATGTGAGGACCCTGAAATATTGGAAAGGCCATTCCTGGGCCTGTCCAATAATGGTCCTGGAGGTGTGTCTGCAGGTTTTCATTCCAGCTCGGCTCTTAACGAGCTGCACCAGCTGGTTCCTGGCTAGACTGGACCAATTCATCAGCTCCCTTCCAGTTCTACAGGTGCTGGCGTTTTAGAGAGAACTGGAAAACCTGCAGACATACTGGTCCTCCAGGACAGGACTGGACAGCTTTGCTGTAGACACACTGATCCCTCCTGGCCCAGGACTGGACAGCCCTGCTGTAGACACAGCGCCCCCTCCTGGCCCAGGACTGGACAGCCCCGCTGTAGACACAGCGCCCCCTCCAGGACTGAGACTGGACAGCCCTGCTGTAGAGACAGCGCCCCCTCCAGGACCAGGACTGGACAGCCCTGCTGTGGACACTCTGACCCCTCCAGGACCAGGACTGGACAGCCCTGCCGTAGACACAGCGCCCCCTCCTGGACCAGGACTGGACGGGGCCCGCCCGAGCCCGGAACAGAACCACAAACCTAAAACTAGCCTACACTTCTGTATTCATGCACTTGGAAGAAAAGTTTCATTTTTTACGATGGGAAAGTATGCTGTATTCAGAGATACTGAGTTTGGTATGAATATGAGGGAAAGGGTCAATCAAATTCCTTATTCTTGGAAGTATATGAGGGAGGCCTCTTTGGAAACACTGCTGCTGGAGAAATATCAGTGTGACTATTGTGTAAACCAGTTAAGCAATGAACCACTGTTGATAGTATTACCACAACCAATAATTACTTATGAAGATCTGTTTAATTTAAGCCTTGCATAAACGTTACCCTGTTTACAATATTTGATAACGGTATTCTGGTCGTGCTATTGTATATGGATATAAATATTTAAAAAAAAAGGTGGGGGATCAGTTTTTTTTTATTTTTGGTACCATGACGCTGCTGTATTTGCGATTGTAATGGCAACGCAGGAAACAGGTGACGACGGACGTGTCAGCAGATTACAGATTCCTTATTTTGGCAGATTTGGGGGGTTGAAAATGCTTCAAATTTGCAGCGGCGCCAGTTTATAACGTTAAAAATGAAAAAGTCATGCACCAAAAATAAAAAACACAAGCCTTGAAACTAAAGAAGACTAAAAGCAGGAACGTCATTCACCTGCCGCGATAAGTACACGAATACTTAGAATTCATTCATTCCAGTACAGTGTATTTTCAGTTCAGGCAGGTTAATCCAGTAGCGCAGGGACGGGCTGTAGTGACCGACTCCTAACAATACGTGTCACCCATTACAACCCAGGGCTCGCCGGGAAAGAGAGTCAAAATCCTAAATAATTCAAGATTGTTCTCTCTCCCCTGTGGACAAGATGCCGGCCGTTCACAAACTGCTTCTGGAAGAGGCTTTGCAGGACAGCCCACAGGTAACACAGACTTTTCTTTCGCGTTGTATTTCTGCGATACCACGACCACACAGGCGTCAGACCAGAAAACAAACAGATGCTGCTGAAACTTGGGGAGTCGACTTTCATCCCTGCCGTGGCGGACACAGCCTCGGCAGTTGCGTTGTAGTCTTTCCGTGAGACTCTCTCTAACGTTCAGATGCGAATTAAGAGAGAGGGGAAAGTCGATTTAAATTCCACAGGTTATCGGGGCCGGTCTTTTACCAGTTGCTTTTGTGTAATGGTTGAAAACAGTCCTTTATCCTAATCGGACGTGAACGTTTTCGGAGACGTGAGCTTGTTTTGAAATGAAACCAAGAGCTGCCAAAGGTTTCATGCAGGGGGAAAAAACTACATCTGCACTTACGTTTTGGGTAGAATTGCAGCTCTGGGTTTTTTTTTTAATTCCGTGTTATCCGGGACAAATACCGTCGTCGTTTATTTTATTCAACTCGGCAAAACAATTGCCTGCACACAACACAGAGGAAAACAACAACAACAACAACAACGACAACTTGCGAGTTGAAAATCATTCGGATGTTGCAAGAAAATAAAACCAGCTCTTGGCTCAAATAAACCCCCCTTGCCTGCTTTTAAAATGGTCCAGAGAACTAGGCCCCTACGATTAGGGGAGGGGGGTAACAGTTTAGCAGTAATTGATGGGAATCCGGGAGAAACGAGCCTGCGGTCGGAGCGCACAGCAGCGCCATGACACCGCCTGTGCTGTTAACGTAGCGCTCCTGTAACTCAGCCCGGCGGTTCGCTGCAAACCCCAGGGGATGCGCTTCTGTACCGCCGCTGCAAAAAACCAAACTGCGGACCCCTCGCATTCCTAAACCAACACGACATCTTCTTTCTGGCGACTCCCGACGAGCTACACGTCTTTTTAATGTTTCTTTTAAGCTGGGAGGGAGACAGGCGGTACACGAGCTTGATTCCGAATGAACGAAATGCACCAAGTTTGAGAATTGTGTTTATCGAAATGGAATTGATTAAATACCTAAGCTGTTGAGGCTACACGGTGTTTTTGTCGTTGATGGTGGTCAATAACGTATCTTAATTGCTGTGAACGTAATAGTTCCTGCCACTCTGTATAAAGAAAGACGCATCTGCAACATGTTATCAGTATCAGTCGGGATTCTGTCGTTGTGTCACCCCAGGCTATTTCAAGATGCGCTGATCTTTAACGAAACTTAACACTGAACGGTTTGGCCAACAGGGGTTATCTATTGTCCTTGAAAAATGGGTTTAATTCACTTCTCCTCTCGGTGGGTAAGGCTGTGACAGGTTTAATAAACGGAGAAGGTAATTATGGCTGGCTTTTCTCCAACAAAGTATTTCGGGCAGTTTCTGAAACTGGTGGATTACACCAGTATCCCCCTTCATACAAAACCAACGTGAATAGAATAGACACTGTACACACCCAGTATCACTGGCCTGACGGTTCAAAGCACACTCTTGCACTGGTATTGTAATGGGTAGGTCATCAATTATATACAGTTCATACAGTATTTATGTCTATAAACATAAAATACACAGTCTAGCAGCATTATAGAGTATATTGCTAGATATGATTCCCTTTGTTCAAAATCGTCTACCTACAAACAATATCAAGACGTGTTGCCAAAAGTACTTTCTTAAAACGTCATTCCTGAAGCAGGAAAGTCAAATGTGTTTCTAAATTTAGCCACGTTTTGTCCCTTTGTGGAGACGATAGAGCATCGACAATTCCTTTGCGGACGTGAACTTATCAGAATTGACTCCTGGCACTGCAGTGAGATCTTCTGTCCAAACTGCAGTCACTGTGTTGGCTCGCCCTGCTGTGTCAACATGAGCACAGAATCCCTTGCTGGGACACCGTCTGCTTCAAGTCTTCCACCTCGCCTGCCTTTGTGTGGCTCAGAGTGCCCTGTTCGAATTCAGCTGAGGGCCTTCCTCCTGACGGCCTGCTTGTGCAATAGTGAAAAGGCTGGCCTTTCCCGTAGAACCCTGTCCTCAAACAGCCCGGCTGTTGGTGCATGTTTTGAATGCATATTCTTGCCCACTACTCAAAGGTTCCCAGGGTGGGAATGCATTGTCCTTGCAAATCATGTGTTCAACCGGGGCATTAAGTGGAGCGGAAGGTTTCTGGGTGGAGTATGAAGCCCAGGAGCCTTTGTTTTTCGGAGCAGGGGAGGTAGTTCAGTAGGTGTGGCTGGTGGACGTTGTACGCCAGTGACCACAATGAGGTTTCTCAAAGGAAAGACACTACATGGTCCTGTAGGCCCTGATATACTCTTAACCGCGTGAGAAAAGTCACCGGCGTGACCGTTCGGACAGGTGGCTTGTGAAAGAAGCCAGGGTATTGGCCGTAGTGACGTGGGGGTGTGGCTTGTCACATCCTCCCACAGTCCTTTGCATAAAGAAATGCCTCTTGATAATAAATCATGCTTTTGATAAGCAGATTGATCTTCTCTTCGTGCCAGAAGATGGAGGCTATATTGGGCTTGTGGTTAAAGCAAAAGATATCCTTGCCAGGAGGTTCCTTATTCATGCTGTGTTTCTCATTGATGCCTTCAGTCCCTGTGTGCTGGGCTTTGTAGATGAGATGTGAAATCAAGACAGCTGTTATAAGGCGCTCTGCAATAGCGGCTGCCAATGCACAGTTCACGTTTGTCCTTTGTCCTTATAAAAGTCAGGAACAAGGCTAGTCTGTAAAGTTAGGTTACGTTTCATTTCAGGGCTTTTTAGGTATGAGACCTATGTCAGTCTCCAGATTCAGGTTTAATTCAGCTTCTAACACCAAATGCTTGAATGTCATTGTGCCATACTGAACACAGCTAAGAGACTACAAACCCAAATCAGGAGACTGTATTCCAAATCAGGAGACTATATAGCATGATTCCCACATTAGATCTCTGTGATCAGGATGATATTAAGTGGTAGACATAGTGACTGCAGTTTTGGACAGAGATCAGGGCAAAATAACATTTTTTCCCTGAGCTCTAGTAGTTCCTGCATAGTGTTTCTAGAATTTGAATTCTTCACAAATAAAACAGTCAAATTATTTTAATGACCACCTCCTTAGTAGAGCATGCAAACTGTCTGCATGCAATTTCTTCCATTACTGCTGTCAGTGCTACAGGTGTAGGGTTCAGTGCTGAGCTCTCTCTCATTTAACAGGGTTATTAACTGGACCACATTTCTTTCTGACTAGCTGC